CAAGCAGCAGCAAGCAGCAGCAGCAAGCAGCAGCAAGCAGCAGCAGCAGCAGCAACAAGCAGCAGCAAGCAGCAGCAGCAAGCAGCAACAAGCAGCAAGCAGTAGCAGCAGCAAGCAGCAGCAGCAAGCAGCAGCAGCAAGCAGCAGCAAGCAGCAGCAGCAAGCAGCAGCAAGCAGCAACAGCAGCAGCAAGCAGCAGCAGCAAGCAGCAGCAACAAGCAGCAGCAGCAGCAAGCAGCAGCAAGCAGCAGCAGCAAGCAGCAGCAGCAAGCAGCAGCAGCAGCAGCAGCAAGAAGCAGCAGCAGCAAGAAGCAGCAGCAGCAGCAAGCAGCAGCAGCAGCAGCAGCAGCAGCAAGAAGCAGCAGCAGCAGCAAGAAGCAGCAGCAGCAGCAAGCAGCAGCAGCAAACAGCAGCAGCAAGCAGCAGCAGAGCAGCAAGCAGCAGCAGCAAGCAGCAGCAGCAGCAGCAAGCAGCAGCAGCAGCAAGCAGCAGCAGCAGCAAGCAGCAGAAGCAGCAGCAGCAGCAGCAGCAGCAGCAGCAGCAGCAGCAGCAGCAGCAGCAAGCAGCAGCAGCAGCAGAAATAGTAGTACTAGTAATAGCAGTAATTAGTAATAAACTCGCGAAATTGTGCAGTTGGACATAATATTTGAGTGGTCACGTTGTTAGACTTGAAGCACAAGGAAAGAGTGACACCTGAGAGACCTTACGAGTGAAGGCATATAAGGCATTATTAACCGATGCTTCAGTAAGTCATAACGTCTCTAATGACATTGTGGGGTTTTGTTGACGCTTTAGGCGAGTTGAGGTTGGTGCAGGGAAGACGACGAGGTAAAAATGGCTACGAGACAATGAGGAGGGGCTAGAAGAGGAGTAGTTACAGGAAGTAAAAAGGGTAGAAGATAATGTGGAACGGCAAGAAGAGGATGAGAAGGGCTTAATAAAGGATGGGAAGGGGGTTATGGAAGAAATGGAGAAGGGTGGAAGGGGAAGGGAAGAACTTCTTGATATATCGTTTGGGAAAGAGGGTGATAGGGAACGCACGAGAAAGGGTGAACACCTTCCCAGTCAGATAAGGGAGTGTGAAGGGGAGGAGGTGGGGGTGAAAGAAGAAGAATCGAGGAAGAGAAGCCTTAGGTCTTCCCTCCCTCCTTCTCTCTTCTTCCTCCTCCTCCTCCTCCTCCTTCTCCTCCTCCTCCTGGATCAAGCAACAGCGTGACAGAGACTGGAGGAAGGGTCAGTCCCTCTGCAGACACACTAAGGTACGGACAGGAACCCAGGGCTGGAAAAGTTCACTAATATTCGTCACATTATTATGTAGTGTGTCGTGAAGCGTGTCCACTCAAGTGCACCCGTGAACCACGTCTGGTAAAATGTTTCTGCTCAAGTGTCTGAAGTGGCTAACACTATAAGAAGTCCCTTGTAATTATTATTATTGAGAGGATAATTTGAGGATGCTGATGAAAGGTGGAAATTTCATACATTGGGCAGGGAAGAATAGGATTTAGTAGGAGTAAGGACGGGCCAAAGGTGAGCCTGGAGAAGTGCACGAGGCAGAGGGTACCATGAATGGTGGTACAGCAACTGGGACAAATGGGATAAAAGACTTTGAGTTATTGAAGGCAACTGGGGATATATTTTGGAGTGGTTGGTGTATGTGTTCCATATATGCATGAAAGAAGGAAAGGTGTCTAAAAATTGGTTGAGAGGGGACCAGAGAGTGTAAGAATTATAGAGAAATAAGCCTGGTGAATATACTGGATAAAGTGTCCAGTAGAATTATTGAAAGAATTACAAGTACGACAGAGATTAGGATTGCAGATAAACAAGGAGCGTTCAGGAAGGTTAAGAAATGTGTAGACCAGGTATTTACATGTGTGTGAACCATATTTAGACAATGTAAGGCGATGTTCCGTCCCAATCATGGCTTTACAAAAGACATGTGATAGGGGAAAGGTGAGCAGTGTGAGGTAAATATATGTTTGGAATAGCAGGGTATGCAGGGAGAGAAGTAAAGACGAACCTTAGACACAGATGCTTGGTGTTACCATGGCTGTTAAAAGATATTTACTGCATAAATGGTGTTGACAGGTGAATGCAAAGGTACTGGAAACGTGCGAGATGAAAGATAATGAATCTGATGCCATACAGCGTAAAATATATGAAGGAATTCAGGGAAATTGGTTAGCTGGACCTCAATTCTGGAGGTTAGATGTGAAGTGCCTACACACTGAAGGAGTGGTAGTGGTGATGGTGGGGGGGGGGTTGGATGTGCAGGCCTGCACTCTGAAGGGGTGGGAGTGGGATGGGGGGGTTTGGGTGTGCAGTGCCTGCACCTGAAGGAGTGTAGTGGTGATGGGGGGTTTGGGTGTGCAGTGCCCGCCTTGAAGGGGTGGTATGGGATGGGGGGGGTTTGTGCAGTGCCCCGCACTCTGAGGATGGGAGGGTGTGGGGGGGTTTTGGGTGTGCAGTGCTCACTTGAAGGGGTGGGAGTGGTGAGGGGGGGGGTTGGATGTGCAGTGCCTGCACTCTGAAGGAGTGGTAGTGGTGATGGTGGGGGGGGGGGGGTTGGATGTGCAGTGCTACACACTGAAGGAGTGGTAGTGGTGTGGTGGGGGGGGGGGGGGGGGGTTGGATGTGCAGTGCCTGCACTCTGAAGGAGTGGTAGTGGTGATGGGGGGGGGGTTGAATGTGCAGTGCCTGCACTCTGAAGGAGTGGTAGTGGTGATGGGGGGGGGGGTTGGATGTGCAGTGCCTGCACTCTGAAGGAGTGGCGGTGGTGGTGGGGGGGGGGGGTTGGAATGTGCAGTGCCTGCACTCTGAAGGAGTGGTAGTGGTGATGGGGGGGGGGTTGGATGTGCAGTGCCTGCACTCTGAAGGAGTGGTAGTGGTGATGGGGGGGGGGGGGTTGGATGTGCAGTGCCTGCACTCTGAAGGAGTGGTAGTGGTGATGGGGGGGGGGTTGGATGTGCAGTGCCTGCACTCTGAAGGAGTGGCGGTGGTGGTGGGGGGGGGGGTTGAATGTGCAGTGCCTGCACTCTGAAGGAGTGGTAGTGGTGATGGGGGGGTTGGATGTGCAGTGCCTGCACTCTGAAGGAGTGGTAGTGGTGATGGGGGGGTTTGGATGTGCAGTGCCTGCAACTCTGAAGGAGTGGTATGTGGTGATGGGGGGGTTTGGATGTGCAGTGCCTGCACTCTGAAGGAGTGGCGGTGTGGTGGGGGGGGGGGTTTAATGTGCAGTGCCTGCACTCTGAAGGAGTGGTAGTGGTGATGGGGGGGTTGGATGTGCAGTGCCTGCACTCTGAAGGAGTGGTAGTGGTGATGGGGGGGTTGGATGTGCAGTGCCTGCACTCTGAAGGAGTGGTAGTGGTGATGGGGGGGTTGGATGTGCAGTGCCTGCACTTGAAGGAGTGGTAGTGGTGATGGGGGGGTTGGATGTGCAGTGCCTGCACTCTGAAGGAGTGGTAGTGGTGATGGGGGGGTTGGATGTGCAGTGCCTGCACTCTGAAGGAGTGGTTAGTGGTGATGGGGGGGTTGGATGTGCAGTGCCTGCACTCTGAAGGAGTGGTAGTGTGATGGGGGGGTTGGATGTGCAGTGCCTGCACTCTGAAGGAGTGGTAGTGGTGATGGGGGGGTTGGATGTGCAGTGCCTGCACTCTGAAGGAGTGGCGGTGGTGGTGGGGGGGGGTTGAATGTGCAGTGCCTGCACTCTGAAGGAGTGGTAGTGGTGGGAAGGTTGGATGTGCAGTGCCTGCACTCTGAAGGAGTGGTAGTGGTGGGAAGGTTGGATGTGCAGTGCCTGCACTCTGAAGGAGTGGTAGTGGTGGGAAGGTTGGATGTGCAGTGCCTGCACTCTGAAGGAGTGGGAGTGGTGGGAAGGTTGGATGTGCAGTGCCTGCACTCTGAAGGAGTGGTAGTGGTGGGAAGGTTGGATGTGCAGTGCCTGCACTCTGAAGGAGTGGTAGTGGTGGGAAGGTTGGATGTGCAGTGCCTGCACTCTGAAGGAGTGGTAGTGGTGGGAAGGTTGGATGTGCAGTGCCTGCACTCTGAAGGAGTGGCGGTGGTGGTGGGGGGGGGGGTGAATGTGCAGTGCCTGCACTCTGAAGGAGTGGTGGTGGTGGTGGTGGTGGGGGGGGGAGGTTGTTGTGGTCTGATGGATCATTCTGACTGTAACTTCACACATCGGTTAAGACAGATACTGGATGATGGTAAGTGTGTATCGTTTGTGTGTCACTCTAACTTGGTGGGAAAGACCTAAAATAAATATATTCTGTGGTATCAAATAAGGCAAACTGGTAAATTAGGCTTAAAAACGGTAACTTTCGTTGCGCCGAATAAGCTAAAAATTACGTTAATTTAAGTGAGGTTTCTAATTAGGTTTGGCCAACAGTAACTTTGTTTACATCATTATCAATAAAGAAAACTTCGGCTTATTAGACGCCATATATATATAATATGGTGCCGAATAGGTAAAACTGGTCAATTAACAAGAACTCGTTTAAAATTAAGTCCTTTCTAAAAATTTTCTCTTATACGTTTAAATATATTTTTTTCATTTATGTTAATGTAAAAATTAATAATTTTGTACCAAAAGAACCTTAGAAAACTTACCTAACTTTATTATAACAAGAGCAATTTAATTTAGTCTAATCCATCTAAATATATTTTAGATAAGTTTACAATAATTTAATAAAGAAACACAATGTAATATATTTTTTTCGTTAGGTTTAGAATGATTTTTGCGAAATTATTGCATATACAAATTTTCGCTTGCCTTATTCGGCAAGAAGAGCATTGCTATTTATTCCAAAATCCCAAGTTTTACCTATTCGGCACGATATATATATATATATATATATATATATATTATATATATATATATATATATATATATATATATATATATATATATAATATATATATATATATATATATATATATATATATATATATATATATATATATATATATATATATATATATATATTATATATATATATATATATATATATATATATATATATATATATATATATATATATATATATATATATATAATTTATTTATTTGTCTTGTATTAATAAAACACACATTATTAATTTTTTAGATACATCACAATTGTTTTTATTTTTCCACAGATACACAGAATTCGTGTTTGTTGTATATATGGCAGTCGAGTAAAACAGTCACCCATATACTGTTACAGTCAGCAGTTAACCACATCCATTCAAGAGAGAGTTCAGCCGGACAGTTGTCCAACTTATGGTTATGACATGGTTAGGCCGGTTTCCAACACTGAATGCCATGTGAAGCATTCTAGATATGGATTGGCGGTTATGTAGTGGTTAAGCTGACAGGAATCATATTTGCAGTGATTTAGCAATACATTTTCTACTGATGAAAGCAACCATCGCCAGCATTCACCCCGTCACAGGTGTTGTTCGGCTGGTAATGCAGTTATCAGGCAATCAGCGCCTCGCTTGAGGTGTATCACTGTGTTTTAGTATATGATAGACATTACAGGGTGAGAGCGAGGACCTCCTCCCTTGCGTGATATGGTTGCAGAATCAGAGCGAGGTTCTCCTCCCTCATGTGACACGCCGTATTCACACACTCGACGCCGCCATGAGCCGCCAGATTGGGTCGTGTAAAGTGGAAGTTCAGAGAAGCCAGCCATGGCTCCATACGCCCACGTCTGCACTCGTTAACACACCTGAATTCAACCACAACCCACCTACAGTACGAGCTAAACCTGTGGTGCTCAGTCCAACCACTGCCATGCCCACTACGAAAAGAGCGCCTACGTGTCTTTTTCCTACGCTGCCGGGAATGCCATTGTGGGAGAGGGCCAGGCAGGGAGTGATGAAAACCAATAAATGCAGTGCCAACTGCAAACATGCTGGACGACGTGTGGTCACCCCTCACTCCAGCGTATGCAACAGCCCTTCAAACAGCCTCCCCAACAGTCCACCAGCCCATCAAGAAAACACTTCGTTCAACCCTCACAACAAAAACTTGGCCACAAGCCAACCTGTGGAGATACCAGCGGCCAGGCGTAGGTCGAACTCGCTGTTCTGTTCAGACAATAGTTTGGGCTCCATTTACTCAAGTGGTCCGGTAATGCGACACATGGACTGTATACCCACCACTCGAGCAAAAGGATGTGTTAAAAGAGAACAGAGGAGGCATTCTGTTAGTCCATTTGAATGTTGTACAAGGTCACTTGGTGAATCACATAATATTATGAAGTCCTCGACCAGTCCCTCACGTCGGAGGAGCAGCCAGTTGTACGAGGCGAACAGTTCGGGAAGTGGGGATTCAGTCAGTCCATCTATTCACAGTTCAGTTGCTGCGGACGGTTTCAGTACCAGCACCATGGATTCACACCATCACGACACTGACACCAGGGATTCACACCACGACACCGACACCAGCGATTCACACCACGACACCGACACCAGCGATTCACACCACGACACCGACACCAAGGATTCAGAGCATCACGACACTGACACCAGGGAAGGTGATATCAGCGATGGCGGTTCTGAGGAAGGTTCGGTGCAGGGATATTATGACAGCAGCAGCAGCAGCAGCAGCAGCAGGGACTGTAAGAGCAGTAATAACGTTGGCAGTGAATGTAGCGCACGGCGTACCTGCAGTTATAATCCAGGATATGGTGACAGCTGTACTCCAGGACACAGCAACAACAGCAGCCCTGAACACTGCAGCATCAAGAGAGGCAGTGCACGGCTTGGTATCAGCAGCGTGAAAACTAACTCAATGAGCAGCAGTACTCCCAGCCTGAATGTTCTTGATACATCATGCGACGTGTCTTTCAGGGAAAATGGCAGCCTTAATGGATGTAGTCCGTGGCATAGCAGCAGCACCATCAACAGACGCAGCCCTGTGCACAATTGCATCAACAGAGACAGCTCGTGGAGCAGCAGCAACAGCATTAACAATATTTCAAGAAGCAGCAGCATCGCCAGCTTGAATGTTTTCGACACTACGCGTGATGTTTCTTGCAGAGGAAACGAAAACATGAAGAACAGTTCACGCCATGACAGTAGACGCAGCCCAGTACACAAATGTGTCACCAGCGGAGACAACACATGGCATAGCAACAGCATAAACAGACGCAGTCCTGTACACAGTAACAGCATCAACAGAGGCAGTTCTTGGAATCGAAGCAACAGCATCAGCAGTAACTTCAAAAGTAAGAGTACCACTAGTCTGAATGTCATTGAGGCCTCATGTGACGTCCCTAAGGGAAATACCCTTAACAGAAACAGCATTCGATGTAATAGCAACATCAACAGAGGCACCACCTCCTGGCATAACATTAGCAGTAGGATCAGCAGTAATTCAAGGAGCAGCAGCACCACTAACTTGAATGTTACTGATGCCATAAACAACATTACGGCCAAAGGAAATCGCATTCTCAATAGAAGTAGCCCACAACAGGGTAGCAACCTCAGAAGAAGCAGCTCACGATATGGTAGTAACAGCAGCATCAACAGTAATTCAAGGAGCAGTAGTATCACAAACTTAAATGCTACTGAGGCTACAGGCAGTGCTCTGGCCAAAGGAAACTGTAGCCTTAACAGAGGTAGCCCACGATATGGCAGCAGCTTTAACAGAAATGGTTTGAGATATGGTAGCAGCAGTAGTATCAACAGTAACTCAAGGAGCAGTAGTATAACCAACCTTAATGTCACCGAGGTAGCACGCAACGTTACAGCCAAAGGAAAGGTAGACAAAGACACCATTTTGATCCCAAAGTTCCAGCGGGGAGGTGGACACGAAGACATCGGAGAAGCTCCAGATGCTGCTGCTGAAGTCATGGGTTCCATTGAAGTCACAGACTCTACGAAGTACAAGGGTTTGACTGGGAAAAAGAGCTCTACCGGAGATAAGAACTCAACTAAGGGTAATAGCTCCACTGACAAGCTGAGCAGGCCTAAGAGTAGTGAGATTAGACAGGAAAGCAAGACTGATGTTGGTTCCAGGACAGCAGCCAACACTACAAGGAAACTATCTGCCGTGCCTGGGGCTAAGGCAGACAAACTCAGGAGTGCCTCGGAGACAAACAATAGGATGAAGAACCTCGTCGATGCTGGACGAAAATCAAATTGCTTCTCGAACAGTAACAAGAGGACCAACTTGTATGACACAGTTAAGAAAGCCACACTGGCTACCGAATACGTGAAGAAATCAAAAGGCTTAGTGGAGAATGTGAGAAAGCCAAAGATCTCCGATGAGGCAAAAAGGACGAAGTCTTCATGGGATGAAGGTAATGGAACTAAAATTTCAACAGCTGATGCAAAGAAGTCAAAGGACGTATTTGATGTGAAACCCGAGATTTCATTGGATGAGGCGCACAAGCTGAAGACTCCATTTGACATGAGTGAAAAAAGTTCAGATGATGATGGGAAGCCAAATAGCTCACCGAATATTGTGAAGAAGCAACAAATATCTACAGATGAGGCAGAGAAGCCTCAAAATGCGACAGACGAGCTGAGAAGGCCAAAGAAGTTCCATGAGATGAAGGCCAGGAGCTTAGCTGATGACACCCAAAAGCTGAAGAGGACACCGAGATTAATCTCTTGTATGAAGAGTGCCCGCAGCCTGTCGGACATTGAAAGTCTTGACAAGACCCCGCTTGTTAAGTTACATATGTTGAATACCCTGTGTGATAAGCCCAGGAAGGTGAGGAACGACAGCAACGGCAGCAGTGGTGGAGGCAGTGTTACAGATGCAAGTAACAGGGCAACAAACACCAGAGTTGCTCTCGTCAGAATGGGAAATGTGAAGTCCTGCTGTGTCGATGCAGAAAAGCTTGGTGTTACATGTGACATAAACAGCTTGACTGTCGATGAAACGGAAGCTACAGAGGTAGTGGAGGCGCTAACGGAAGACAACAGAAATCAAAGTGAGGGTAAATACGTGAATAGCAAGGCGGCAGTGGTGGACGTGTCGGAAACTAAAGATTCCTCAGTCTTGTATGATGGCGAGGACTTGCTACCTGCAGCCACTGCAGAAGAGTCAGTACCATTGAGAGGCACTACAGAAAAGCCAGTACCATTGGCAGGCACTGCAGAAGAGCCAGTACCATTGAGAGGCACTACAGAAAAGCCAGTACCATTGGCAGGCACTGCAGAAGAGCCAGTACCATTGAGAGGCGCTACAGAAAAGCCAGTACCATTGGCAGGCACTGCAGAAGAGCCAGTACCATTGAGAGGCGCTACAGAAAAGCCAGTACCATTAGCAGGCACTGCAGAAGAGCCAGTACCATTGAGAGGCACTGCAGAAAAGCCAGTACCATTGGCAGGCACTGCAGAAGAGCCAGTACCATTGAGAGGCACTACAGAAAAGCCAGTACCATTGGCAGGCACTGCAGAAGAGCCAGTACCATTGAGAGGCACTGCAGAAAAGCCAGTACCATTGGCAGGCACTGCAGAAGAGCCAGTACCATTGAGAGGCGCTACAGAAAAGCCAGTACCATTAGCAGGCACTGCAGAAGAGCCAGTGCCATTGAGAGGCACTACAGAAAAGCCAGTACCATTAGCAGGCACTGCAGAAGAGCCAGTACCATTGAGAGGCACTGCAGAAAAGTCAGTACCATTGGCAGGCACTGCAGAAGAACCAGTACCATTGACAGGCACTGAAAAAGAGCCAGTACCATTGACAGGCACTGGAGAAGAGCCAGTACCATTGACAGGCACTGGAGAAGAGCCAGTACCATTGACAGGCACTGGAGAAGAGCCAGTACCATTGACAGGCACTGGAGAAGAGCCAGTACCATTGAGAGGCACTGCAGAAAAGCCAGTACCATTGGCAGGCACTGCAGAAGAGCCAGTACCATTGACAGACACTGAAAAAGAGCCAGTACCATTGACAGGCACTGGAGAAGAGCCAGTACCATTGACAGGCACTGGAGAAGAGCCAGTACCATTGACAGGCACTGGAGAAGAGCCAGTACCATTGACAGACACTGGAGAAGAGCCAGTACCATTGACAGGCACTGGAGAAGAGCCAGTACCATTGACAGACACTGGAGAAGAGCCAGTACCATTGACAGGCAGTGGAGAAGAGCCAGTTCCATTGACAGGCACTGGAGAAGAGCCAGTACCATTGACAGGTACTGGAGAAGAGCCAGTTCCATTCACAGGCACTGGAGAAGAGCCAGTTCCATTCACAGGCACTGGAGAAGAGCCAGTGGTACTAATAGGCACTGAGGAAGAACCACTAGCACTAACAGGTACTGAGAAAGAACCACTTAAACTGAGGAATCTGGACACAGTGGTGTCAAACACTCAAGATATTGCCATGTCAGATATCAGCAGCGCAGATGAGATGCTGGCAACCTGCGAAGAAGAGGCGTCAGAGGTCAGCAAAGAGGTGTCAGAGGTCAGCGAAGAGGTGTCAGAGGTCAGCGAAGAAGAGGTGTCAGAGGTGAGCAGTGCAGCTGATATATTAGCAATGTACACACGAGATGTGTCACAAGTAAACACTGCAGATACGTTAGCGACAGACACAGATGACATGCCAGAACTCAGCACTGAAGAGTTTGAAGATATTTGTTCAGCAGACTTCCTAGAAATGAACACTGAGGAAATGCTTGCAACATTCGCAGCAGACATGCCAGTAGTAAGCAATGAAGAAATGCTTGCAACTTCTGTTCCCGACATGCCAATTATGAGTAATGAAGAGATACTCGAGGACATGTCAGAAGCGGACGACAGCACAGATGAAGATTCAAGAATGACCTCAGATGAGAGTGACGAGTGGGGAGATTTCCATTTAGAACTTGAGCCACCTAGCTTGGATTTCATCGAGAGTGAGAGACGCGGTGATGATAGCGATGATACAAGGTCCCGTGATGAGTCCACTATGAATAGAAGCAGGCATGGATGTGAAGGTCATATGGGTCTCAGAAGTTCTGACATTGGCATCCAGAATAGGGATTCTGACGATCTACTTTCATTGAACAGCTGCAAGCAGAGGGGCAGCTGCAGTAGTATTTATAGTGACAGCAGCAGCAGTAGGTGCAGCAGAGTGAAAAGGCATGGGAAGGATCCATTTGCAAAACATTCTGGAAGCCTCGAAACTGAAGACAATATGATGGATGAGTGCTCCTTGAGTCGTAGCGTCGGAGAGGACTTCTTTGGCAGCTTCCGGGAGAACTTCAAAAGGCATCAGAAAGAAGACTTTAGCGATAGTCTAAAGGACATGAAGAGTAAGTCTGGCAGCCTCAC